TTTGCCTTACAGAAGCTTCTCAGTTTCAGTAGGTCCCATTTATTAATTGTTGACCTCAATGTCTGTGCTACTGGTGTTATATTCAGGAAGCAGTTTCCTGTACCAATTGGTTCAAGGGTACCACCCACTTTCTCTTCTAAGAGGTTCAGTGTGGCTGGATTTATGTTGATGTCTTTGATCCATTTGAACTTTTTTGTGCATGGTGATACACATGGGTATATCCTCATTCTTCTACATGCCTTTGTGAACTTCAGCATGTGAGTGGTCTGATAGTGTCCTAGAGGGGGTTTTCATCAAGGTTTGAATGTGAGTGCTCAGACAGTGCACTAGATTGATTTTTCCTGATGTTTTGCATGTGAGTGATCAAAAATTGCCCTAGAGTGAGTGTCTCTGAAATTTTGCTTTTGAGTTCTCAGACAGTGCTCTAGAGAGACATTTTGTGAAGTTTTGCACGTGAGTGCTCAGACAGTGCACCCGAGGGAGTTTTCGGGAAGTTTTGCATGTGAGTCCTGAGACCGTGCTTAGAGTGAATTTTCTTGATATTTTGCATATGAGTGATTAGACAGTGCATCAGAGTTATTTTTTTGTGACGTTTTGCATGTGTATGCTCAAAGGGTGAGCTGGAGTGTGTTTTTATGAAGTTTTGCATGTGAGCATTCAGAGAGCGGACTAGTGTGAGTTTTCACAACGTTTGTCATGGGCATGCTCACACAATGCATAAAAGTGTGTTTTTGAGAATTTTACCATGTAAGTGCTCAGAGTGTGCACTAGAGTGTGTTTTCATGGATTTGGGTGTGAGGGCCTAGAAAGTGTTTATGTGAAGTTTTGCAGACTGAGGTCATAACATCCTTGAAATATTCCGGTTGGTTCAGTTCAGAGGTCTTCTCTGTAGTCCAGGGTCTTTCTGTAGCAGTTTGTCCTTTTTCATTAGCATTAAGAAAATTCAACGTTAGTAAAGCAATATATAATCTGTGTTTGGGGGTCTTTTTCTTTTAAGGTTTGGTTAGATCTTTCAACCATTGCTTGTCCTGTGGGACTGTAAGGTATACCAGTTACATGTTGTACATTATAATATTTGAAAAACTGTTCCAATTTGCTGGAGACATATGCTGGAGCATTGTCAGTTTTTATTTGTGCAGGAATACTCATAACAGCCGTGATCACCTCTGAGAGGTGTGTGATAACAGAATCAGTCTTTTCAGAGCTGAGGGCAGTAGCCCATTGGAAGCCTGAGAACGTGTCTATGATATGGTGTACATATTTCAAACTGCCAAATTCTGGAAAGTGAAAAACCTCCATCTCCCAAATTTCATTTCCGCAAATACCTTTGGGATTACTCACTGCTGGTAATGGGGTTTGATTATAGAATGAACAGGTGGGGCAATTTCTTACTATTTCCTTGGCTTGTTGCCAGGTGACAGTAAAATCCTTCTTTAAACCTTTACTGTGATCATGGTGTTTCTTATGAAATTCTGAAGCTTCCAACACACTTCCTATTAATAAATGATCAATCTCATCATTGCCTTGTGCGAGAGAACCTGGCAGATCCATCTGGGATCTGATGTGTGTTATATAGGATGAGTTCTATTTCTCATGGTTTCCTGTAATTGTAAAAAACAATTAGGTTAATTTTGTACCATCATGAACAAACTCTGCAGTCTCAGTGTGAAAGACAACTCTCTCTGCATACTGAGAATCCGTAACTGCATTGAGAGGCTTTGTAAAGTCTTTAAGTACCATGGGAATGGCATATAACTCTGCCTTTTGTACGGAGTTGTAAGGGATTTGAACTACTTTACTTATATTTCCTGATTAATAACCTGCCTTACCCGATTTGTGTGCATCAGTGTAGAATGTAAGAACTCCAGAAATAGGCGTTTTTCTCACGATACGTGGAAGAGTCCAAATTGTTTTCTTTATGAATTTGATTCTCTCTGTTTTGGGATAGTTATTACCAAAAAGCTACTGCAAGTCGTTTGCCAATATTCATTATACTTCCATAAGGATGAAATTTCCTTACTAGTTTAAGGTACAATAATTTCTGCTGGGTCTCTTCCTGTCAGTTAACGAAGCCTTAACTTACATTTTAATATAAAATCAGAGATCCTTTCTATATAAGTTTTCATTTTTTTATTCTGTTTATGTGGCAGAAATACCTATTCTGGTATGATGCCTTCCCTCTGCAGTAAAACTCCTGAGGGGCATTCTCTAGATGGTAAAATAACCAGAATGCAGTCCGGTTTTGGATCCACACTGTCCACATATGCTTTAATATTCTCTTTTCTACCCATTCTAATTGTTTTTCTGCCTCAGCTGATAGTATTCATGGACTATTTAGGTCTTTGTCTCCTTTTAAGACCATTTCAGGTGTTTTAAATCATGCCCTTCTACACCAATAATTGTCTGTAGTCCAGAGATTTCTCCTAGTAGTTTTTGAAGATCATTAAGAGTCTGGTAATAATCTCATCTGATCTGTACTTTCTGTGGTCTAATTTTCTGAGAGTCTATTTTATAACCTAAATAATTAATAGAATCTCCTCTTTGTATTTTTTCTGGGGCAATTAGTAATCCCCAGCGAGGCAAAGTTTCCTTTACTGCTTTAAACATCTTTTCCAAAGTACCTTTATTTGAAGCAGACAGTAATATGTCATTTATATAATGAGATATTAATGATTGTGGAAATTGTTTATGAATTATTTCCAGAGGTTTATGCACAAAATAATGACACAAAGTCGGGCTATTTAATATTCAGTGTAACTTTTTATGAATGTTTGCCAACATTTATACTTGACACTGAAGAATAATAGAAATACCTAAACTTGAAAGATGGCTGTGGGCTCCTCCTCCTCTGTCATATTCCTGTTGTTTCTCACCAGTGTCCTAGGGATATCACTCCCCATCTCAGGAGGTTTTCAAGATGTCTCTCAGGTCTCTTCACTCATGACTTCATCTCTTTCTGAAGGCTTATTCACACTTCCTTGATCAGCCACCATTTTCCATAACACACTGTGCCTGAAAGCTCCAAATTCCCTGAACATGACTTCTGATGTTTTCACTTACTTCTGATAGAGGTCAACACAGCTTGATGGGAATTGCATGATTTAACTTCAACAAACAATCACGCTTTTCTGATTTTGACTTAACTTGAGTTAGCCTACAGTGTCCAAAATCCCCCTTGTGAAATTCATATCAGATGTTGGCATTAGGCATAGCAAACATCTAATTTCTGTATCTTCTATGATTTTAACTATTGTCAGATATGAACTAGACCTATTTGACATGAAATACCATACTTATTTCCTTTGATTTGAAGTTCAGATTTTGCTTTTGATACTATTCAGTTTTTGTGAATAGTACTTTTCACAATTGCATTTTAAAAGTATAAGGAATATATACACAAATGTATATATCAAATAACATTTTACCTAGTACAGACAGTCAGTATGAATGTCATGATGACATGCTACCTTCTGTATCAAGACTTGCTTTAAGGTGTCATTGTTGTACATTATGAAATATAAATGACATTTCAATTTTAGAGGAATTAAAATGTGAGAGAAACCAAACATCAGTCTCATTGTCGTGTCATATCTAAAATCCAAGTAACCTAGACACTGAGGCAGCAGGAGCATACATTTAAGGCAGAACATTTCTCAAGTTTTGAAAAGGTTATCTTAGACTCAAAATCTTCCTTCTCTCCAAAGGGCTAGATTCAGACCCCAGTTAGGCAAAAGATCACGGGCTGGGTCTTTACAGGGAGGTTAGTCCAAACAGAAACAGAGGGACAGGGAGATGAATCAGTCTGTAAAACATTTGCTGTGCAAACGTGAGTGCTTGAGTTCGATCCCTAGAACCGAGTTAGAAAGCCAGGTAGAAAAGTGTGTGATTGTAATCACAGTGCTGGGGTGGCAGAGATGAAGGGATTACCGGGAGTCCTTTGCTAGCCTAATGGAGAGCTCCAGGCCAGTGACAGTCTTTGTCTCCAAAGACAAGATGATGTCTCCAGAGGAATCACCCCTTTGTCAAGATTTGCTCCCTACAGAGATGCACAATGTGCATGCGTGTCTGCAGGACGTGTGTGTGTGTGTGTGTGTGTGTGTGTGTGTGTGTGTGTGTGTGTGTGATCACGTAAGCTCATGAACCAAAAGTAGAAAACTAGAGGAAAGGAAATAAACCCATGGTCTAGCCACAGAGGTCAGAATGGTTGTGCATAAGCATCCAGTCTGACTTTGGGCTTCTTGGCGTCCAAGGTGAAAGGGAAATGTGATATGAACTTTTGTTATCAGAAAATGAAGTATAGTGATTCCTAACTGGAGACAGGTGTTTTTTTTTTTGTTTTTTGTTTTTTCTGGCTGAAAGGTCGCTCTCATGTAGGAATTTAGACAGAGGACACAAGCTATCTCACAGGGAGTTAGGAAAAGAAAACCCAGTGATTTCACTGAGAGAAGGGCGAGGAGAGCTGTGGCAAGTGTCACCTTCAAGGCCTTTCCCTGGTTCCCCTGGAAGCAAGGTGGCTATCTGGATTAAAGTAGTTCATAGGCAGCAGGAAGAGAGACCGGCACGAGATGTGGTTGAAGAGCAGAGAGGGTACATCCCGAGGACCCCACCACCATCAGGGCAGGACAGGCCATTGGGATTCTTGCTAGAAGACTGCAGCCTCTGCCAGCATCACCTTGGGAACCGAGGCTCTCTATTTCTGTACCCAGGCTCTCTATCTCTGTACACAGGCTGGGTTCTGGTCCAATAAGCCCCGCCCCCGTGGCGCTCTCATTGGTCCCTCACAAATCCCGCCTCTCTCCCAGCATCGTTCCACCCTTCTTCGCCTGGGGATTGAATTTACTGACTTGCTATCTGGGCCTCCAGTTCCTTGGCCTGCTCGCTCGAAGGTGGCGACCCTATGACACAGAAACAGCGAGCATGGGGGTCATGGTCAGCTCCTCAGGTCACATATATCGACCCTACTTACAAGCCTGAGACGCTGCAGCCCCAGGATGGGGGCGATGCGAAGGTGAGGACAGATGCCTGGTGGAGGACACAGAGGTGACAGCCAGGCCTCAGAGCATCCAGAAGGGAGGTTGGGACGCACCTGCTGCTGCCACATCGAATGCCTAGCAGCCTAGGGAAGAGGTGGCAGGGGCTTGGAGGGGAGGAGACGCCACGTTGAGTTGCTGCCACATCGCCTACGGGAGCACACACCGTGCGTGGTCTTGGCACTAAATAGAAAGTACCTAGCTGACTTGTAATCTAATAGCAAGTTACATGCACAGCCAGCAGAGCAGCTTGCTTTACTTTGAGCTGTAAAAGAAAAACATGCCCTGGCACTCTCACTTCAAACAGATCTATCTATTGAAAAGTCAAGTAAGTAATTCCGTATAATGAGCTACCATGCCAAAATGGGGATTGTGGATATGTCCTCAAGTTTACAGTGAAACACTGGGTAACTCTTGAGAGCTACAGAAATTCTCTTTTATTTGTGCTTCTTTGTTGGTTTTGCTTCACAGACCAAGACTCATGAGCTTTTGTAGAAAAAAGGTCTTCGTGGTTAGCACTTAAAAGTATAGAGCTAAGTCCAGGTGGTAGAGGGCCCGTCTTTAATCGGGAGGCAGAGGCAGGTGGATCTCTGTGGGTTCAAGGCCAGCCAGGTCTACAAAGCAAGTTCCAGGTCAGACTTCAAAGCTACACAGAGAAACCTTGTCTCAAAAACAATAACAGCAACAACAAAAAGTAGAGAGCTACTTGAGAAATATAAGGCTGAATTGAAAAATGCAATTTTTATTGTTGTTTATTATTTGCTTAAAGCCAACTAAAGTGTAATAGTCTGACAATTATTGTTTTGAATAAATAGTACAGCTGTTTGCATTTCCTTAGAAAATTAAGTATTGAAAGCAGTATAATATCTATGGGTTAGATTGGACCTTTACATATCTCTTAACATCCCAAGAAAATTGATGTCATAATAAGAATATTTAGCCTTATAATCAAATGAACTTGAGGAATTTTAAAATGTGATTAGTCCTATTTTAATTTTTTTCTGCAAAATATAAATAGATTTAAGCGCACATAACCTTTCTTCATTTTGTTTCTATTTTTCTGCATCCTGCGTCTTCCCCATGCTTTCATTTCGTTAAAACATATCTATGCTAAATATTTTATTTTCTCTGTTACTTTATTATTGTTACTTTTCCAGAAAATACAAAAAGCAAAAATAAAAACTACCAAAAAGCAAAACAAAACGAAAAACATCGCCTCACCGTGTTGATGTTGCTGGTCTCCAACTGTGGAAATGCTTCTCCAATCCTACAGCAGCATGTGCTGTAGACACAGCCTGGCATACTTCTGGGAGGGTGTGGTAATTTCCTTTTATGTGTGTGCACACTTTGCTTCCATGTTTGTCTTTGAATTCCTGTCAGGTGTCTTCAGAAGCTAGAAGATGGTGTGAAATGCCTGGACCTGGCCTTGCAGACATTTGGGAACTAAGGTGTGGGTGCTGGGAATCAAACCTGGGCTCTCTGGAAGAACGGACAGTGCTCTCAGCTACTGGACTGTCCTTTCAGTCTCTTTTCTGTATTCATAACTCCTATTTGTCTCTGATGTTCTGTCACTTATGTTATTAGTGTATGCTGGCATCATTTAAAGCCTCATTGAAGCCGGGTGTTGGTGGCGCATGCCTTTAATCCCAGCACTTGGGAGGCAGAGGCAGGCGGATCTCTGTAAGTTCGAGGCCAGCCTGGTCTACAAGAGCTAGTTCCAGGACAGCCTCCAAAGCCACAGAAGAAACCCTGTCTCGAAAAACCAAAATAAATAAATAAATAAATAATAAAGCCTCATTGAAAGCCTATTATGTTTTGTTTTCAGAAGTTTATGGAGAGAAATTAATTGGGCTTTCTAAAATATGAACACTTTGTATGTTCATTGTATGGTTCAATGATAACTGTTAATTTGACAATCTGAAATCACATTGGAGGCAAGCCCTTGGTAAAATATCTCTGATGGGAACTATTGGCTATCTTAGTTGTTATTCATGGACCCATCTTAGTGGTCGGTAGGTGCATCCTCTTACAGGAGACCCTAAATTGTATAAAATGAAGCAGGCTGAGCACAGTATGCATGCACTCTTTGGTCTCTGCTTTTTACATTGAGAACAAGTTTTCATCGAATATATTCTGATCGCTGTTTTCCTTCCCCCAACTTCTACCAACACCTTTCTACCTTTTGCACACCCAGCTCCATACCATCTTTCTCTTTAGAAATAGAATGGACAATTCTCACCTTCTTGGCCAGGGATACAATGAGATCAGTTGTCTCACAGCCCTTCCTGCTACTGTGACTTCTCTAATGGTGGGATGTTACTTAAAATTGTAAATCAAAATCGACTATTTTCCTGATTTCTTTCTAGTGAGTCATTGCAACTCAGTGTGGAACTAAACCCCACACCACCATAGAAGCTGATGGGGACCTGACTGGCTGAGCCTTCAGGAAACAGCCTCCATGGATCTCAATCTACGTTCCCAAACAGAGAAAGAAGTGAGTGGTGTATGGGTTAAATATTCAAACTCAGGTATTGATATTGGGTGTATTCAGTCTCTAAGAAAACTGTAGAGGAGCTCATGAGTGTTGATGAGAGTATGGGGAGCATCAGCTGAGTTGGCAGGTAGAGGGAAGGGTACTCAGGATGAAAATACAGTACAGATACAAGATATTCTAAAAAAAGAAACAAAACAAATAAAAACATGTCTGAAAGCCTCAGAATACTGTTCACACTGAGTTCAGTGTACATTGTCCTGTAACTTGGTATTTTGACTTTTATTGTTCATTCTCTTTTGAAAGGTATGTCACAAATTTACTTCACTTAGCTCTATGCCTCTTAGAGTTATTCAGTTTCTCTGAAGACTGTTTCTATTTGTGCTTCCCTAAGACTAAAAATATCGATTTATTTGATTTGAATTGAGGCCTAGTCAAGGGGGTTACCCAGAGAATGGTGTGGTATTGTGAATTAAGTATTGGTCTCTGCTGTTGGAGGACTTGGCATTAAACTGTTGCCATGTTCCATTAAGCTTTGGTGAGTGAAAGACCATGTTTATTTTACCTCGTTCATAAAATCCACCCTGACACTATGACCAGTTTGTCCTTGCCCTCATGGTCCCTTACGGTGTCTGAAAGATGGGAAGAGAGAGAGAGCACAGGCCCTAATGATAGTGGCAAATTAATTAAAACAAGCATTTAATTAAAGCAAGATTTCCTATTCATGTCCAGGAGCTGCCTCCCCCAAGACAGTGTTTGAGAGGACAGCATTGGAGATGAAGAGGATGAGGTTTTTCTAAGTCTCAGGAGTTGAGATTTGATATGTAGAATATTCGGGAGTACAGGAGCAGAGCATAAGCATAACAAGTTCGTCCCAAAGACCTCCTGGATCAAAGTCATGGTTGCAAGATCCCAGGTGTTCCCCAAGCCGCCTAAAGAGCACCACCCCCTGGAACCAATGTTTTCATATCTGACCCTGCCGGGGACATTCTCATTAAAACACCTCAGAGACCAAATATAAATATCTGGACATGGCTGTACAGAATATGTTTAGAATGCACCTGCCATGTTGAATAATAACTTCTCCACATAGTATTGTATCAATTTAACAAAATTTCCATTTTTTAGGAGGTTTTCACTCTGCACCTCTATCTCACAGGACCAGGCTGACCACAAACTCACAGAAATCCATATGTCTCTGCCTCTTGCCAAGTTCTGGAATTAAACGTGTGTGCCATCCCTCATTAGTTGAGAAAACTCATAATTTTAAAGTTTTTCACTACAAGGGAAATCCCAAGAACACAGAACCAAAACCACTAGAGGGAAGCTTCAAGAGAAAAGCGCCATATCCCTAGAAAGAAAAGCCCAACAGTGACCTCTTAGAAAAATGAAACCAAAAACAGCAAAGTGAACAGCAGCAAAGCCAAGAAACATTAGAATGGACAATTACAGCCTCCAAAGAACAGAAGCACTAAGCAGGATTATTGTGGGGAAAAACAGGAATCCACTGACCTTGAAGAAGGGATGGAGACCTTGCAGGATATGCACAAACTAAAACCCAGGAAGCCCACCACACTTACATTGCCCATGGGCAGTGAGCCGTATATACTCCATGAAATGTCAGTTATGCCTGAGGAAGAAGGCGCATGCTTGTGTTTACCAGGGTTGCTTAGCAACGGCTGTTCCATAACTGTTTCTGTTAGACTGCTCAAGTCAGAGCCTCTCACTTGGGGGAGATGTTGAGTTTGGCTCTGGTTAAATGCTCACTCAGCACAATTATTTACTCTTGTGCTAGAGAAAGGTGGGCAGAGGGATGTTCTCCACACTGAGGAAGCTCTTCTGCTTTAAGAAGCAGCCAAGAACACCCTTGGGGTTTTGTGACAGCCCAAGAGGTCAAAGGTGGACATTTTTCTCGTGTGACAGTACAAGCGAGGAAATGGACTGCCAACCATACGACCCAGAAAATTCTTTTCATGAGGCCGTGTGTAGGGGGGAGCTGATAGAGGCCCTGCACCTGCTGGCAAGTAAAAAATTTAATATAAACCATAGGGACACAGGGAAAAGGTAAGAACACTTGGCACCTAGGGATGAGGCCCTGAGGAAATTGGGGAATGGGAGAATCTGCCTCTTCTAGCTGAAGTGATAGGAACAGGGAGTCGAGCCCAGTTATGAGTTCTGTACTACAGGCTCCTCCGTACCTGTGCTCACACAGAGGTGCAGTGCTCACATCTTCTGGAGAAAGAACCATTGGACCAAAGCTCCAGCAGGTTTTCTGTCACCCCATACTTCTCCTGTGGAACATTTTCTGAAGGAGCATCGATTATAGAATCATATATGAGAAACAATGAAATTGGGATTTAATGTAAATGTCCATAATAATCACAATGTTATGTAAACTGTAGGAAAGACAGAATGGATGTTCCTCATAATGTTTCTCCCACTTAAATGTATACAAAATTTTCAGTGTGACTTTTATGAATGTTTGCCAACATTTATACTTGACACTGAAGAATAATAAAAATACCTAAACTTGAAAGATGGCTGTGGGCTCCTCCTCCTCTGTCATATTCCTGTTGTTTCTCACCAGTGTCCTAGGGATATCACTCCCCATCTCAGGAGGTTTTCAAGATGTCTCTCAGGTCTCTTCACTCATGACTTCATCTCTTTCTGAAGGCTTATTCACACTTCCTTGATCAGCCACCATTTTCCATAACACACTGTGCCTGAAAGCTCCAAATTCCCTGAACATGACTTCTGATGTTTTTACTTACCTCTGATAGAGGTCAACACAGCTTGATGGGAATTGCATGATTTAACTTCAACAAACAATCATACTTTTCTGATATTTGCTTAACTTGAGTTAGCCTACAGTGTCCAAAATCCCCCTTGACAAATTCATATTTGATAATTTCTGTATCTTTTAACTATTGTCAGATATGAACTATACCTATTTGACTCGAAATACCATACTTATTCTTTGATTAGAAGTTTAGATTTTGCTGTTGATACATTTCAGATTTTGTGAATATTATTTTTAACAACTGTATTTTTAAAAGTATAAAGAATATGTATTCAAATATGTATGTACAAATACATATATGTGTGTCTTTGTAGCTCACATAATATTTTACTTAGTACAGGCAGTCAGTATGGATGGCATGATGGCATGATACCACGTAACCATAACACAGAAAGGTTGAGAAGAAGGTTGATAATGGAGTCTAGAGCAGGATGAGAATTCAATAGGAGTTGAACCAAATGGTCATGTTCTTTCTGTTCAAATAGTCCGCACTTGACAACATAGCTCAGTGATAGAGAGGAAAGACATCTAGGATGCAACAGATATGGGTTTTATTCACACTGTCACAAAAGTTCGGTATAGTTAATCTTTATAATGTACTGAAATTCTAAGAACAATATATAATTATAGAATAAAGGTCAGTATTTATAGGTTAGTGGAGCTAATTATTATCACATACTATTTCTAAATACATTAATGATTCTCTGTGTTGACATAGTGCCCTACAATTTTCAGAAAAATGCTTCTCAACGTAGCAAGTTATAAGAACAAAAATACAGTTATAGTATGAAATGCAATATCTATGGGTCACTGAAGTTGAATGTTATGTACTATTTCTAAAGACACGAACAATTCTGTGTGCTGACATAGCGCCTACAATTTTCATGAAAAATGCTTCTCATTCCCACAGAACTGCACTCCACTTTGCTTCCTTCTATGGGCATGTACATCTGGTGAATTTCCTTTTATTGAATGGCAGTGAAATAAATGCACTTGATAAGAAGAAGTGTACACCGCTAGTGAAGGTAGTTCAAAGATTCAGTTTCAGTAATTAACTTGACCGAAGTGGTTAGGATGAAAGTAAAAATAATACAACTTAAATATAGATCATGGTGAAAGCTGGGGGGAGTTTATGTCGAGTTCTTTGATTCAACAGTGTTTTCCTTGTCACAATATCCACAGGCTGTACAGAGCAGAAAGAATGAGATTGTCTTTGTCCTCCTTGATGAAAGAGCTGATCCCAATATTAAAGACATAAATGGAGAATCAGCGATACACCAGGCAGTGTATGTGGATAACCTAGATATACTCAGCAATCTTCTGACGTTTGGGGGAGATATTGAAGATCAAACAAAGGTAAAGGTTTTGTAAGTCAAATTCCCAAGTTTTCAGAAACCATGTGCTTTAACAGTGTCATATATAAGACCAATTTTCCATGTTAAGAAGTTCAAGTATTCCTTGAAATTACTTTATTGGTATTCCTTTAAATATTAATACATGGTTATTGTTTGTTTCCTTTTTAACCCATTGAGTCTGATGTGTGCTGTCCATATATTACCATCCACTGGAGCTTGTTGAGGCCATCCAGGCCACACCTTTAAATGAAAATGATTCTCCTCTCCCAGCAGTTACCAACTGTCACCAAGACCTCAGCTAAGAGCAGAAATTCATGGGGAATCCTGTTTGCATAATGAAATTTTCTATCACTTGAGCTTCCATAGTTCTTGAGAAGGGTCTCACAGTGACTATGACATCATATGAATATCTACACATTTGTGCCCAGGAGACACTGTTTCTTCTAAGTCATTCATTTTCGCTGGCCCTTACAGTCTTCACCCTGATCTTCTACAGTGACCCAGAGATTTGACAGGAGGGTTGTACAAAGAGGAAGGAATATGGGTAGGTAGACTAGAGAGTGCATTTGGAAAGTAGCCAAGAAAATGGGGTGAATATATTCAAATTGCATTAAGCAGAACTCTCAAAAATGGTTTCTCACAGGGGAAAACAAATGTTGACTTATTGAAAGATGTATTAGAGAATATAGCTTTCTTATAAGGAGTCACAGCAAGTACTTGCAAAAATAGCTATTGTGCCGAGAGGTTTATTTGGGTTACAATTCCAGTTTGCTATATATTACTGGGAAAAGCACAGGTTCAGGATCTAGAGACAGCTCTGCATAGGTCGTCTGTCCTGAAGAGAGGGACAAATGAATGAGCTGAGGCAGCTAGTTAGCTTGGTACCCCCATCTCTCTAAAATCTAGCACACTCATGTTCACAAATCGGGCAATGGTGCCACCTACTACTGCCTGGGTTCAGTTTATCACTTAGCCATCAAGACAACTTCCCACAGGCAGGTCTGTGAATCAAACTGAGGTAGACAATTCCTTAAAGGAAGCTCTCTTCCTAGGCCTCACTGGTTGGGTTCTCTGGCAATTAAAAATAATAAACATTATGATTTACTACATTTGGGAATTCATAGTAGTCACTTTTCTCATTAAGGTTAAAAGATTAATGGTAGAAGCAGCATAAGCCAGAAATGGTTTGCTCCAATTCAGAAGAAGTCTTGTCTTGGCTGAGAATGCATAGCAGCTGGATATAACTTAGTCTGTGGTATCAGGAACTTGTAATGCTTCCTCTTCATATGTTCACAGAGTCAATCAGTGGTCTCTTGAGAAACTCAGAATAGGTGTGCCCCTAAAGTACCTACATACCAATATCTCACTCCCAAAGGACCCATATCCAAAGTTTCAATAACTACCAAAAAGACTCAGTAGCTGTGCCAGGATATAAATCACTTGAACCCTTGGGTGATGTTTCACCTTCAAACTGCTGCTGTGGACTGAATTTTGCAACTAAAACATGGTGGATTTCACTATCTGCACTTGTTTTGCTCACATCCATAGGTAAGCATGTAACAAAGGTTAAACTTATAAAACAAACCAAAATGTATGGAAAATGTGGTCCATTCCTTCACTCATTCTCTTCCATGAATGCAGTGCTCACTCAACCTCCAGGAGAATTTTAGAAACCTGGCTTCATCCTGACTGTAAGAAGTCAACTCCTTTCTTGTTTAGCCCCTTTGATGGAATGGTTCCCTGCACGAGGCACTTCCAGCATTTAAGTGTGTTCTATTTCCAAACAAACCAGAGCAGTATTTTCCAATTTCACCTGCTTTGCCTTTATGTGGTTTATTCTGCTAGTCTTGTTTCTTGGTAATTTTGATATATACGTAGGATGTTTGAAGTCTCATTTTTCTCCCTTGGCAGTTGTCAGAGCACCGTCAGATTCTATGGGAGCTAGTCCTCTCTAAAAATTCTTGGGTTAGTTCCAAGTTTATTCCCTCCAATCCTTTCTAAAAAGGATGTAGTGTCTTTTGTAGCAAGATTACTGAAGTGACTGGAAGAAACCAGGACCAGTGGCAATCAATAGCTTGCATTGTTTGGGTATAACTTCAGGGAAGTTTTTCCTTGCCTGGCACTAGTCAGTTTGTTAGTTGTGGAGTTGGGGAAGGCTTTTTGACCCTTTGGGGCATCGCTCCATGTAAACTAGATTAAATCATTTTAATGTAATCAATGATAATCCTAACACTAGTATATACTTGCAATATGGATTTATTTAGCTAAGGTTTTAGTATGTAGCCCAGATTTATCTAGATTCTCCTTCAAAACCCTTCGGTGCTTAATAGAATAGTAAGTGTGACTTCATTTCTGAATCATCTAATGTTTGAAATGCTTTTAAGTTATTGGTTCATTTTGTCTACTGTTTAAGTTGTTTTCTAAGCACAATATAAATGGGAAATAAAGCATTTCTCATGACTAAAATCCCCTTTACACTGATCTGGGTACACTAGCTTAAGAACAGTACAGTCACTTAGTAACATGGACTTAGATGCAAGGATGTTTAAAATTCAGCAAGTACAGAGTGTAACAGAATTCTATCCCTGGGGACCATACAGAGACCAAAGGTCCATGAGAGACTATCCGCAAGTGGGACATCTACAATCTAACACACACATTGTAGGTTCAGGTGACCTTGAGAAAGTGGGCTCTAAAAATTCCCTGGAGATCCAACTAACAATCCAAGCAATGGTGGAGAGGCTACCTTAAATGCTCTCCCCTATAATGAGAATGACGACTACCTTAAATGCCATCATAGAGCCTTCATCAAGTAGCTGCTGGAAGCAGAAGCAGAGATTCACAGCTAAGCACTGAGCCCAACTCCTGGAATCCAGGTGTGGGAGTGATGAGCAAAGGAGTCAAGACCAGTCCTGGGAGAAGCAAGAGAACCAGCTGACATGACCAAGTGGGGCTCACGGACTGCAGACTGACAGCTGGGGAACCTGCATAAGATCAAACTTGGGACCATGTCAGTTGGGTGGATTGGGAAATCTATGGGGCCACTGGCAGTGGAACCATTATTCATCCTTAGTGAATGAAGGGACTTTGATATCCCATTCCCTATGGAGGTATACTCTCTCAGCCTAGCTACGTGGGGGAGGACCTAGGTCCTTCTCCAAATTATAGGACAGACCTTGATGATCCCCAATGAGAGGCCACGTCCTCCCTGAGGAATGGATGGGGGTGGGATGGGGAGATAGTGGGGGGAATGGGAGAAGAGCAGGGAAAGAGAACAGATTGCTATGGGAAATATGAGTGTTTTTAATTTAATTAGAATTAATTTAAGAACTCAGATGTCTAGTGGTCAGAATGACTTTTGCAAGATAATGTCTTCTCATATGAAAAGATATTGCATCTATGACGTCTCAATAATTCGGTTGCCTAAACAAGACCTGTACGATGAAAGCACAAGTTGACAGGCGAACACTGATGGGGGAAACATCAAAAGGAAGAGTTGCTACCTATCAAAGATTATGGAGAGAAGAATTAAATTATCTTCAGGGTAATCTCCAAATTACCCAATGTGTTTTCCAACCTTTATGTCCAGCCTTAATCACACACACACACACACACACACACACACACACACACACACACACACACACACACACACAAAGAGAGATAGGGAGAGTAAATGAGAGACAGGACATGCAGAAATTCACAGACTTGCAAATAAATGAAATTAGTAGTTTTTCCATGTATACATATGTGTGACTGTGATAAATAAGATATCCGGGATTGGAGAGGGAATTGGAAAACAGGGAGAGTTGACACTATGAGGGGAACAAACTATGTCTCATATAAGGAATTATCTGACAAATAATTTAAATAAAAAGTCTTTCAAATGATAATACTTGTTTTTTTAAAATACTAAGACTTTTTTCTACTTATAAAAGAACAGAAGCCATCTCAAGTAAGGAATCAAAATAATTTGAGGTCTTGTAAATTTCGAGTTAATTACATGGGTGACCTATTCAGAACAAGACACTGACATTGTTACTCTGGATCTTTCCTCAATATAGAATCAGGTGGGTCCTCAGAAAACTCACACCATTCCAAAATTCTGAGAATTTTGTCTCTTAAACAACTTCTGCTGTTTCTAACATTTGCCCCACAGGAGATTGGCCAAACACTCCTTCACAGATCACCTTTTAAGTCCTGGACAATTCCACTTTTTCTCAATGCTTAATTGAATTTTTCAGTTGGGAAATGGTACATCTGGCACCTAAGTGCCCTTTGAAATGCAGGAGAACTCTTGACACAGAGAAAAATATTTTGTTCATCCATATAACTAGGGATTGAACATCTTGCTGCTGTTTGTTGGTTTTACTCTCTTTAGTTAACAGTAATATTACTTCAAAATACCTCTGAAAAGAACCAGAGATCCATGGGTTTCCCATGAGTTTCAAAATGGAATAGGGGGCACATGACATCTGTAGGCAGGATTGGAGATGGTAACCCTGAGGAACATGAGAATATGCTTAAAGCTGACAAGGAAAAGAGCATCAGGTAAGGGTGGCACACACCTTTAATTGAAACACTCGATAGGAAGAGATAGGCACATGTTTGTGAGTTCGAGGCCAGCATGGTCAAGAGAGCAAGTCCCAAAATAGTCTCCAAAGCTACAGAGAAACACTGTCTCAAAAAAAGAAAGAAAGAAAGAAGGAAAAATTAGGACCATATTGTCAAGCCTATAGTTATCATGTTCACATGGCTTCATATATGATTTTTAGTTTAGCTGTAGAGTATTCAGTATTGTGAATGATGAATCGATATCATTACAGGATGGATTTACCCCTCTGCTGCTAGCACTCCGAGAAAGGAAGCTCCACATTGCAGAATATCTAATCACGCATGGGGCAAATATTCATGCATGTGATAATTATAGAAGGTACTGTATTTTGATTTTTTAAACACTACTTAACTGTGAATATAGTCCAGAATAGTAAAAAAACGACTCATTTCAAAATATTATGGGAGCTACTAGAAAATGTCAATAAAACATCAGTTACTTATCTGAAAAATATGTAGCCCATAAATGATCATATTGAAGAATGATATATCCTTAGGTTCATATTCCCTATGATGAGAGGTTTTGTTATTTAGATTTTTATTCTGACTGATATATGATGGTCTATGAGCTGATAGAGATTACATTAGTTACACATTTATACTGTCAGTTCTAAATTTTTCAAATTAGATATCATACAACCTTGTGATCAACCTTTAAATTCCAAATAGTTTTTGGTGGCGTGCAGACATGAATGATGGTTGCAAACTTACTCATGTGGCGTGGTATCAGTATCAGTAATTGAAAACACTCATTTTTTACCATTAAAATTACAGAAAATTTACTCCTATTGTTGTATGCAACTGGCAATTCCCTATTTGACAGTGAATTAGACTAGAAGCGAAATGGTATTCTCCTTCCTATAAATCTTTGTTTATTCCTGGCAAATGGTCTCCACACAGTTATTCACCATAAACAATTAAAATTCCACTTGTGCTATAAAGTACCGAAGTGGGACAGGAAGTTTTCTCCTCCTTTCCTCGTTTCAGCCTTGGACATAGTTTATGAATTTGAAGTCAGTGCTTTCAAGAAGTGTAAATCTGCTTACTTCTTCCTCAATTCTACCCACATAGGCCTTGTAATAACTTGGTAAAATATATTAAATTCACCATTTCAATAATTTAGTTGACTTTATCATTCTAGAACAACACTCATGTATGCAGTTAAATGGGATTCCAAAGAGCTTGTTGACCTCTTATTGAAGAAAGATGTTCAACACTCCGCAAGGGACAAATTTAGATGGAGTGCCCTGATGTATGCAATTGTGGGGAAACGTCAAGTGTAAGTATACAAGTTGATGTGCTAATTGACACTAAATTTAGGCCTGGAATATTTACCAATGTTACATTTTAACCAGGAGTGACTTTGTTATCTAAATTCATTTGTGCCAATATTATATTTTAACAAGGACTGACTTCATCATTTAAGAACATTTGTATGAATGTTACATTTTAACCAGGTTTGACTTCATTATTTAAATACATTTGGAATGGGAGAATTTTAGCCACCTCTACCTGCCCTGGGACAAGCAAAGGGATAGATTGGTCAGGAATAGCAATGGTTACAGGAGACTATCTCAAGGCTGATCTATGCTGGTCCAGTAAATAACACTCAGGGACCTGAATATAGCAGGCATGTGTTTTTAGCAGTGAGCACCATGGCTAAAGTCTCTTTAAGTCTTAAAATCTTTATCTTTTGAGATTCCTACTTGATTTGGTTCATTCCAAGAATCATAGCAATGCATGGCACAGAATTTTAGTTTTGGAGTTAAGTTCTTTGAATCTGAACATTTGTAGTGTAACATAAGATTATGCCACTTATACTCCAAATATTTTATTCATATTACTGCCTGGGTGGCCAACAAGCTAACATGTTCCCTCAGTCCAAGAAAGCAGCAACTTTCACATACATCAGTTATATGTGGCAGACATGAGGAAAAGGTAGGAAGAGATTACTCGTGTGGATTTAATGCGATTATACCTGTCCTTCAGTTGGGTGTTGATGAAAATTGGCAATCAGGTTTCACCTACTCTTTGTGATCTCTGTGTCTTCATCATAACAGTCACAGAGCATGAGCACTGGGTAGTTCACATGCCCATGTGTTTGTGAATTCAAATATTCTTGTGATATAATATACCATGGTCAGTCGCTTGAGACTCAAGATTTCGCCAAAGCCGTTGTTAGGCATCTGAACATTATCATGCATTCATCAATTCCTGTATCCTGGAAGAACATCACAGCATGTTACTTTGGAGGAGTCCCTCCTTTCTTACATCAAATGGGTTTGTGGATATACTAGTCATCACCTGGATCCAAACACTTGCAGAAAGAATGCAGAGATGCTTTTTCTTGTTCCTAAAAATCTATAGAAGGGTTCCTTGACATCATTCTCTGTAGCACAATCTGTGTCTGTGACAGATCTCTAGCACCTTTCATAGGGAATGTGGCAGGAAGTGATTGGCCCACCAAGTACCTTTTCCATATTATGGAACATTTTCTCAACGCTGGAGTCTGTCTTTCAAGAGTTCAGGATATTTGCCACCTCCTCCTAAGAGTGTATACACTGAGAATAATTCTCTGAATCTAAATTATATTAACTGTATTTATTAGCTAAATGCCACCATAGCACATGAGTATACCTACTGCATGTATTAAAGATGATTTATTTCTTCTTTGTAAGTTGGTGGAAAGCATGACTTCCAGGTTGATTATGACAAAAATCAGAGCTGTGTTTCCTTCCTTCTTGGCTAAAGGAAGACCAGGAATAGACCATACTATGTCTTTGTTCTCAGATTGTGGTTGTTCTTTAGTTTAGTAATACTAACTTCTGAATTCAGCAGCTTTTGATAATAGACCCATTCAAGAGTTATACACTGGTTTTCATTCAGGATTCCACTCAGATGAAGAATGAAAAGAAAATTAGATACTAACACTACTATTTCTGTGCCTGTTTTGGGTGATGGAATTTTCACAGCAACCTGGTAAACTAAAGTAGTATAATCCCAAGTTTTGGAAGCCGAAGATGGAGCATCAGGAAACACTTTCACAGAACAAGCAGACTTTGTACTCCTTCCAATATCAGGGCACTTTCAATCAAGTCAAGATAATCCTGTCAAGATAATCTAGATGGTTTGAACTGTATTTGTTCTTTTCCACTAAATTGAGAAAGTTTGTAAAATCTTTTAGAGCTCATCAGTTTGAAGAGTATGTCAGAATGACCTGACAGAATCTCTCATAATTTTTGAAATACTCCTGAGTATTTATATATTCATAAATAGTTTCCTGTCAGTATTGAAATAGTAACTTTTTCTATGACCATTTTGGTACTTGGCAGAAAGACGGCTATTGTGAACCATGTGAACTCAGTCCTGTCAAGAAAACAGAATACATTCTCAGGTAAGTCTTTTTGTAGTTCCTTCCCTGTAGTTCTTCCTTAGATTTAAAGTGTTTGCTTCAGGAATTTTTAATTGTCTGCAATTAGATATTATTCAGGTATATGCCCAAGAGTGGTACAGCTGGGTCTTGAGGTAGATTTTTAACCAGCTTCCTGACTAATGGCCAAACAGCTCTCTTTAATGGCTCTGTAAGATTGTATTTTCATCAGACCCTACATCCTCAAAGAGGAGATTTTTAACAATGAATTTTAACTATGGTATAATCACTTCACTACCCCCTTCCGTTCCACTCCTTGAGTTCTTCTAGGCAGTTTGAAAAACCAAGTGGGTATTGAAGTCTGAAGTACCAAAGAAATAATTCTATGAAACTGGGTGTTATAAAAAGTTCATCAGTTTTGCACTGGAAATATATACTCTCATATAAAAATATTTTAAGGGAGCATTTTGTGATGAAAAGTCTGCATCTATCCCACCCCAAGCACATATTTTGGTATATTTTATACTTTTTACTCTAAAACTATTAACATATTCTACGTTTCCTTAATTTTTACACTACCCTGTATTGGAATTCATCAATTTATTTATTTTTTATTTTATGTGTGAGTGTTTGCATGCAGGTACAACAGACGTGTACACCATGTTCATGTCTGGTGCTTGTGTCAGTGAGGACATGGTGTTATAGTCTGTGGAACTGGATTCCCAGATGTTTGTCAAATACCACATCGCATACGGGAATTGAACTAGGTCCTCTAAAAGAGCAACAGATGCTTTTGACTTCTGAATCATCTTGTCAGCTACCAACACACATTATACATCTATAAAAACACATTTTATCTCACAGTAATAGTGAATGCATAGCTCTAAGTGAACATGATTGCTTTGGTATACATACCACAGAAACAACGACTTGTATGAGTAAAACCAGACACAATATTAAATCAATTCATGACTTCCTTTCCTAAGTATGGTTTCTATAGGAATGTTTTCTATATGTTTTAACTAAAGTATAATTAGATCACTTTCCCACTTCCCTTTCTTCCCTCCAGCACTCCCCATGCTGGAACTTCTTCCATGTCCCTTCAAGACTCAAGCTCATAATCTTGTCTTCCCTTACAATGATTGTTAAAAGCCTGCACACAGTCACACACACACACACACACACACACACACACACACACGCATGCATGCATGCACATATGCACGCACGCACGCACACCCACATATAACCAAAGTGTGCTAAGTTCAGTTTTATTGTTTGTGTTTACTTAGTTTCAGTGCTGACTCCAAATTTTGGACAAGCAATTAACGGTTCCTACCTGAGAGAGACTCATTCTCCCTACCTCAGCAGTCACTAGTTTTCTTCAGTTCCTTGTTCAGGATCATGACCCTCTGAGATCCCTCTCCCACGTCTCCCCAAGGAAGTCTATTGGTGTTGTCCTTGTTCAGATCTTGTTTATTCCCCGTGTCTGGAAGAGACTGTTTCACAGCCGATTTCCTAATACTTATACTTTTTCCATTTGCCTCTTCTGTGATGTTCCTGAATACATAGATGCTAGAGTTGAGATACAGATGTAGCCACTGGGACCAGGATCTCTACACCCTGTTGATCTCTGCTTGATGTCCACTGATACATTCTGGTGATGGTCTGTTAGTATACAGAGAAACTTCTTCTAATGGGTCTGTGGATCATATTTATCTTCTTAGAAAAACAACTCTCAGATCTTTTTTGTCCTTTGTACTGTTTTTGTGGTTCTATTTAATTCATTTCCACTTTAATTTTTATTATTCCTTGCCATCCACTGTTTGGGGGCTTGGTCGATTCATTTTTCTAGATTCTAGAGTTGCATCATTAGGTCATTTATTTGTGCATATGCATACTGGAGCTTTGTTTACTGTCAATTTTAACTTTAATACTCATCGATGTAATATTATACATGGCATTGTTTCAATTTTCTGAATTTCATGAGCCTTCTTTTGTCTCCAGGTATAGACTCCACTTAAGAGGATCCTCTATGTGCTGCTGAGTGGAATTTATGTTCTGTAGTTTTGGGGTGGAATATTATCTTATTTATGGGTTTGATCCATCAGATGAAGATATCATTTAACTCTGAGGTTTTATGGTCATATTTTCTCTATAAGAAACACCTTTGGAAAAATTGTTGTGTGAAACCATATGTCATTATTGGGTCTGTGTTGATCTGTGCCTTTAATACCATTAGGGTTTTTTCTTACAAATTTGAATGTGCCAATAATTTCTGTATATATATATATTCATAAATGTGTGTATGTATGTATGTGTATATATCTATGTGTACATGTTTAATAGTCTAATATTTATTGATTGACCCTTTAATTAGTATGAAATGCACATTTGTCTCTTCTGCTTCATTTTCGTTTGTCAACTATTTTTCAGGTATTAGGACAGCAATATGCTTGCTTCCTGATATTTTTTTCTTAGAATATATTTTCTCCTTATTCATTGTAAGATGGTGCCTGACTTTAAAACTGAAATGAGTTTTTTGTAGAAAATAGTTGGATTTTTTCTTAATTCATTTAGGTACCCTTTGCCTTTTAATTGGATTGTTGAGTTCATTAATATTTGGATACATTTTGAAAGGTTTGCCTGGTTTTTAATTGTTTATTTTCTTGTTGTTATGTTGTTAGATGTACTCTGCATTTCCTTAAGCTATAGCTTTATTTTTCTTCTAAATTTTTTCATCCTATACCTATTCCTCCCCTCACTTAGAAGGATTCCTTTCAGTATTTTGTTTATAACTTTGTATTTGATATGACTGTTTCATGTTGCTTGTATCATGGAAAGTGTTGCATTCTCCTTCAGCTGTGGCAGACATTTTCACTGGGCACATGAGTACTAGTTGCCACCCAATGTCTTTTAGTATTTGATGTTCATTGCTTCAGGCTCTTGAGCGCTTCATTTGATAAGTCAGCTATTGCTCAGTAAAGAGTTCGATATGATTTGTATGCTTTCTTTTCTTGTAGCTGTCAATATTTCTCCCAATTTGTGTATTTGGTGGTTTACATATCATGTGTGTAATGTGTATTTTTCCTGCCAGCTTGGACCTAGAGCCACATCAACCTCAAATAACACCGAGAGACACTATTAGTTACAATGCTGTCAGCCAATGTCTGGGGCTTATGACTGGCTAGTTCTGTCTTAAGTATTAACCCATGACTAGTTATATATATATATATATATATATGTATGTATGTATGTATGTATGTATGTATGTGTGTGTGTGTTTGTGTGTATGTGTGTGTGTTTCTATAAGGTCTTATCCTACCTAGGATGCCAGCCTCCTGATTCCTCTCTTCCCAGGATCACATGGAGACTCTCTACTCTTGACTACATTTCCCAGGCTCCTCCTCAACTCCTAGTCCCCTATTGTGCTTCCCTATTATCCAACAGCACATTATTTATCAGCCAGTAAGACAAACATATACACATAAGGACTTCCCCCATCACATGTGCTTTGTAGCTTTCTTTTCTGATCATCTCTGGTTGGGGTTATTTTTGATTCTTGTATCCCTTTGTGTATATCTTTACTGTGGTTAAGTTCAAGGGCAACAACAACAGCAACTGAGTTTCTACCTTATTGCACTCTAGAAAAGAATGAGAAATACAGCTGTACCTAAAAGAGCTCATTTCAACCTAAAGCCAGAGGAGATCCGGGAGGGTGGGCAGCATCTGTTTCACCAGACCTCTCTTTTCTGATAAATTGTACTTCTGTATGAGAAACAAAGTCCTGATAGGTTTCCATTACTTAAGGGGAGATTGAAAGCACAATGATCATTGACTCAGGTTCTCTCTGATAGGTTCTTTCATGCCTACATGAGGAAATGCAGCCATGGATCTGGAGATTTGTTGTGTCATAAAATATGTTTATACTGTCTTCAGATAGAACTTAGTACCATTATTCCAGAACATTCCTCTCTTCGCTATTTATTTGTGATAGGCTATGGTCCTATTTGCATTAGTTGAAAATGGTGTCACTGTACATTGTTACCTACTTTGAAGTATCAAATGCTAATAATTTCTTTCATTCTTTTCTTGGATGAATTCAAAGGAGGAGGAGATTTCTTGATGCATTTGTTATATTTCAGTACCATACCTACTATTTACACTAGAAGCTTCTTCTTGTATAAATATTATATTTTACAGAGTAATATCTACTGAAATATGTTTTATTATTGATGCAATTTTAGGACATCAGACTGAAGACATCCTTTCCTCAGGGTAAGAATTTAAAGACTTTGAACATGAATGTTAACTTATAATTTGAACCAGGGGAAAGAAACTAGTGTTTGTTGACTGTCCAATTCTTTACTAGATTCCATCTGATTCATTCAATGTACATGAGGTGTTAATATAGTTATATGTCTTAAAGCATGTATATGCATGTGTTTGGTGTCCTACTTCTTTAGCAGAAGTCTTCCAGAGAGTTTGATTACTTCCATGAATGCCAGCTCGTGACAGTACTGTCAGGCTGTGCATTCTCTTGCTCCTCTGACTTCATTGAGATGGTCCCATGCAGAAAGCTAGGTTTTTGTTAAGTCTTTGTTTTCCCATGACAGTAAGCGTCTTGGATTTTTCTGTACATTTATTTTTCTTCATGTTTATTCAGGTTTAATTTAAATTTTTGTCTGTTAAGTATTGCTTCTTCTTTTACTAGAGAATCTCACCCAGATCTTAACATTTTTGTGTTTTCTAGGAAACTTGAAAACAAATAAAAATACCTTGAGCACAGGAACTTAGATGCAACATTTTACATAAAGAGTTCTGATGGAGACCCCAAAGCTAAAAAAAATAGTATTCTGTGAGGTGGAAACACAAATAGCCAAGTTTAGATTCACATGTGCTCTTTCACTGCAAGACCAGTCTTTGCTGACCTGTATGGAAATATGGGAGTGGGTTAAGTGCTCCAAGTTAAAGAATACCAGGATGGCATTAGAAAGTAAGCCTAGTGTTGCACAATTTGAATGCCTTTCACTGGGGAAGTGCCATTCCAAAAGGAGCATCATGGATGTAAATGGGACTAAGAATTTGACCTCATGATGAGTTTTTCAAAACAATAAAGT